CTCCAATTCGGGCAAGCCCCCCGAGGATGTTTAAGCATGAAGGGGGTGGGAGGGTGGAAATCCCGCTTAAAGAAAGTGACTCCGAGTGCCAGCTGACAGGTTTGGAGGATATTCAAGCCTCACATTCACGTTGAAAAGGGTCGATCAATCACAGGGAAGGGGAGCAAATGGGTTGCAATCCTCAAGAGGGTGCAAATCTGTCCATCCGGGTCATGCCTACAAGTCCCCCCCCCCCAATATGTGGGAGAAATGCTCAAGACCACCATGGATATCTCCGTTCGATCAGGGAGAGGAACGGACCGTCAAAGAAGCAAGTTTGGAACAGCAGGGGGGGCTTGACTACAATGCCCAGAATCCTCCAGCCATGGGTGTTGTAGTTGCCAACAAGCATGGTTTTCAAAGTTCTGGCGAAAAGCAACAGCCAGCCTGGAGGGGGCTGAGAAAGACGGTTGGGCAAGAGGCCAAACCCTCCACCCACCCATCAGACGCTCCCGGGGACTCGGCCGGAGGGGCGGATTCGTCCATTCTGGGCTAATAGCCATTGGCAAGCCCCGGGGCTGCAGCACCGGCCACCACCGCAACCCTTCCCCCTTGGAGGAAGGCAAGCGGCCGGACAAGGGGGCTGCCGTTTGGGAAGGGGGGAGAAGCCAGATGGCCCCTGCCTACATTGTCCACCCCCCAAAATGCCACTTTACCAGTTGCAGGCTACGAAAGGGGTACCCCGTCTTCCTCACCAAGGAAGGCAGGTGAGCCCGGTTTCCTGAAGGATACCTGCTCAAGGATCTTAAAGAGTGGGTTCCATCCTCAGGGGATAAATGGGGAAGATACTACAGAAACGCAGAGCGGAGAGACACCGGGAGCAAAACCGGGCAAAGCTTGATACGGTCTGGTGGGTTTTTTTAAAACAACAACAACACTACAACTCCCATAATCCCCCAACCGATCAACTAGGGGATTGTGGGCATTGTAGTCCCCACACACACACACCCAGCATTTCCAAGGTCCTTGGCACGAGATTGCAAACCGAGAAAGGGAACGTGGGTGGGCCACCCCGACAGAATCCAGTGGCCAACCTGACTGGGGATTCTGGGAATTGTAGTCCAACAGAGACCTTCTCCAGGTCCCGACAAGGACACATTCATGTCCGGTTGTAGGGACCCAGCGAGCCGTGTTCCATCGGGGTGACATTCTCTTCTCCGTGTTCCTCTGTGTGTGTGTTGTGCCTGTTAGACCTTAAATGCAAAACTAAAGAGTTCAGAGCCAAAACTTTTTCCTCCAGGCATTTCTAGATCTGGCCGGAATTTCTGCCAGAAACTCGCCCGTAAAACAGCCCAGGAGACTGGGAATCCGAGGCGGGGTGCCTGATGGCCCCAATCCCACATCAAGCGGCTGCGTGAGGGAGAGAGAGAGAGAGAAAGGCAGGCAGCCAAAAAGCCCTGGATTCAGCTGCAGAAGAAACCTGGAANCTGGGAAGCAGAAGATCCATCTCAGCCTAAATTTGCCTTCTGCACTACAACACCCAGAATCCTCTGGCAGTGCAATGTACTGTATAGAAATGCTTGGAAAGTTACTTTTTTCTCTCTCTCCTTTTTTTGGGACGAGAGACTTTCTGAGCAGCAGGGATGACCGAAAAGCAAGCGCCCCCACCCTGATGCCCACTGGATGCCCAGAGAAGGAGAGGACTTGGGGGGGGATTTAAAAGAGGTCTGGTCCACCAGCCTCGCAGGCAAGGGAAGAAGGGGAGGGTCCATCCCTGGAGGGGATGAAGGATGGGGTGGGGAGCAAATGGCACTTGCACAGGGAAGAAGGGGGGGTAGCGAAGTGGTACCCGCAGGGATGGGTGACAGGGCTGAACACCCATTATCTTTTTTGGGGGGTGGTTGC